ATGGAAGGGCGGCACAAGGAAGTATTGCCTGGTGGCGGCATTAGACATCAAAAACGCCTTCAACTCCGCCAACTGGAACTGCATCATGCAAGCTCTTCGAGAGAAAAGCGTTCCAGAATATTTATGTAGGATAGCGGACAGCTACTTCACCGATAGAGTTCTCAAATACGACACGAAGAATGGTTCAAAAGAGTACGACATTACCGGGGGTGTTCCACAGAGTTCTGTTCTTGGTCAACTTCTGTGGAATATTATGTACGACGGAATGGTAAGACTGAAACTGCCAAGAAACGTTAAACTGGTAGCGTATGCAGATAATATAGCTGTAGTGATCGTCGCAAAACATGTAGACGAGATAAACCATATGTTCGACATCACCTTTGACAAAGTCAACCAGTGGATGGACGAAATGAATCTCCAACTGGCGAAGCACAAGACTGAGGCAGTACTTATTACCAGCAGAAAAGCAGTAGAGACCATCAAGCTGAAAGTCGGTACACAAGAAATCATATAACAACCGTATATCCGATATTTGGGAGTGATGCTTGATGCTCGACTCAATTTCAAGCAGCAGATGGAACACGTCAGTGCCAAAGTATCAGTAGTAAAAGCTAGTCTCGCACGACTGATCCCTAACGTCGGCCGCTCAAAGCAGAGACTACTACTATCATCAGTTGTCACATCGGTGCTTACTTATGGAATAACCATTTGGGCAGATGCGTTGGAACTGCAAGAGTCATGGAGAAAGGCTGGACCAGTATATCGTCTAAGTGCTGCAGTGTGTGTCTTTTCCGGAACTTTGCCACTCAGAATTCTAGCTGAGGAAAGACGGAACCTTTACCAACGAAAGAGGTCAACCACACTAAGTGCCGAGGAACTTAGAGCTGAAGAACTGCAGAACAACATCACACGATAGCAATCGCAATGGGATGCCGCAACAAACGGAAGATAGACAAACCGTCTCATACCAAAGATCGACGTTTGGCTGAACCGGAGTCATGGCGAGGTCAACTATTATCTGACGCAAATGTTGTCAGGACATTGATACTTTCAGACGTATCTTTATCGCTTCAAGCATGATGATTCACCGGTGTGCCCGTCCTGCCCAGGAATCAGTGAACACGCGGAGGACGTTTTCTTTGACTGCCCACGACTTTATCCACAACGAGACGAGCTGGAGACGAACTTGAAGAAGAACATTCAACTAGAGACAATAGTAGAAGCGATGCTGTCATCAGAAGCTGCCTGAAACGCTATTAATTCGTTTGTCACGAAAGTCCTTACGGAACTGCGTTCCATTGAAAGGAGAAGAGCAAATGACGTCCGCTAGAAGAAAGAAGATATAAAATCTTAGCTACCAGAAGTAAGAGCAGCAGCTAATTCCTCCCTCTGCGATGTAATGCCTAAAAGGCGGGTCCGCGGGGGATGAGAGGATAGAAGATAAGGGATTTAGGGTTTAGTGGGTAGTGCCGAGTTTTAGTATAACGCAGTGTCGAGTATATGAGACTCCAGGCGAAACATCTATGCCTGGAAACCGTAAAAAGGATTCCCCCTCTTATAAAAAAAACATATACACACACACATACACACACAATTTTGAGAATCAATTAAACATCCCCATTATTTTCTCCTTAAGCATATCGATTCTTGATCTCTTGATCGGAGGGCCGCCGCACTCGGAATCAGAATCTTCATTATTTGTGGAAACATCACTTGAGACTGAATTCCTTTACTGTTGTCCGTTACTTAGTTGGACTGATGCCTGTTTACACGAAATCATCAGATTTTTAGTAGGCGTAATGACCTGATTAAAATTGTTGCATCGTGTTGCCGAAGCCCTTATCCGATTCGCTATATAAAGACCTTTGCTATACCGACAGTATGTAGTGCAATCCTCATGTTATTGAGGTCTGGTTTGTCACCAAAAATATCTTGTTTAGAGAGACCGCGCCCTTCCCACTGATGTTACCCAGGGGCACAGTGCTCCTCCACCAACGCCTTCAGTCTATCGAGAACGACAACACCCTCCTCTACGGTCTGCGTCGACACGTCGAATAAATCAGCCAAGGGTACAATAAAAATTATCTAGTAAGAAAATAAAAGTAAGTCGGATTTCAAGATTCTCGAACTCTCGTTATGCATTAAATTTTACTTTTATGTTTGGAAACGGTAAGTTTTATGAAAAAATTACAGGAGACAAAAATGTTTCTAAATGAAACATAAAATAAAAAAAATATTTTTTTTATGTCATTACATAAGTTTTTCCTTAAATTTTGTTAAGAAGAATGATCGGTGTAGTCTAGTTCAATCCCCTCCACTCGTTTTAAAAAACGATGATGGCCAGAACGTTACAGTCAATGGTGATCGGTATAGAGCTATGATAACTAACTCTTTCATTCCTGAATTGAATAACCACGATGTCCAGGAGATGTGGTTTTAACAAGACGGCGCAACATATCACACAGCTCGTGCCACAATCGATTTATTGAAAGACATGTTTGGTGACCGCCTAATTTCACGTTTTGGACCTGTGAATTGGCCTCCAAGATCTTGTGATTTAACACCGCTAGACTACTTTCTGTGGGGCTATTTAAAGTCATTGGTCTATGTAGATAAGCCACAAACGCTTGACCATTTGGAAGACAATATTCGCCGTGTTATTGCCGATATACGGCCACAAATGTTGGAAAAAGTCATCGAAAATTGGACGTCCAGATTGGACTACATCCGCGCCAGCCGTGGCGGTCATATGCCAGAAATAATATTTAAAATGTAATGCCACAAGATTATCTTTCGGATAAATAAAATTCATGTCAATCGAATAATCCATCGTTGTTTTATTGCAACTTAAAGTTCTATACATCGACGAAAAAAAACACCCCTTACGTTTAAGTAACAAACTATAACTTTTACTTATTTTAAGCAAGGATTCGCCACCTTAAGTTTTTGCATTTGTTTTGAAACGCCCTGTATGTACTTGGATAGTATAAAATAATCTTTTTCTTCTCCCGTCTGTAAAATACCTAATTACACACCGATCTAGCGTACGGGAAGCGTCACTTTACCACGTCAGTTTCGTTTCCCACAGATCCGAGCCACGTCGGACATTGCCGGGATTTTACCCCACGGACTTGGGAGCAATCGGATGTTTTCCTATATATTTCCCAGGCCTTGAATTTTGACATTTGTCAATTCTGACGGTCATGTTAGTGAATGTATTCGTGTTGTTTTGCAAAAATGTACCCAAAAACTAACGGTCGTAGAAAAAGTATAGTATGCAACACGTTCGACAAACTTTTTAAGTCATTCGTTTATTAAACACTCCGCTCATGTCAAATAACCTATACTCGTGAGTCAAATGCCGTTTACCGCACTCGTCGCATAATATACTATTAAAGGGTTGTTATTTGATATAAAGAAAAGTGACTTATTTTGTTGCACGATTGCAGAGACGAGCTCGAGACGAAATCGTGCAAAACTTTTTTAATACTACAAACTATAAACAACAAAACTACAACAAATAAGTATTGATTATTAGGTATAAATTTTAGACAGGAAGCATTTCTGGAAATACGCGACATTGTGCTCACAATTTAAACCCTACTTGATAGATAATCCACTCATTGACTTATAAAAAATACAGCACAATTATTTGTCCGAATGCATTAAGTAACTAATTGCAATACATTATAATCTATGCAAAATAGTTGCAAGTGGGTAAGAAATCTAGATTTTATCATAGTTTTCTTTATATATAAAGGATTCCCTTTGGTTTATTAAAAACCTTAAAATCGTTTATAATTCAAGCAATGATGTGCCACATTACAATTCCACTGTGTTTTTTGGTCATACTTCTGGGGGTAATATCGAGTTCAGAAGGTAAAAACGTTCAATTTTCATATTTTTAATGAGATATATTTGGATCTACATACATACATGGTTTTTCCATATTATAATTAAGTGTAAATTTGAAAGTTTCATGTTTTCTCAAGGATTTTAAAAATGTTTGGTTAAAAATGGTATAAACTTTTTGTAAATAAAAAATTGTAATAAATTCTATATTATTTAAACTTATAGATCTCATGCTTCAAATAATGCGAATAATGAAGACTGGAAAAAATATTTTAAGTAAGATCAAGCAAGAGAAATAGCTATAATTTATTGCTTTGAAAACATAAATAAAAAACATAATACCATTTCGTTTGTCGTAATAACTGTAAAATATTTCCTTTAATTTAAAACAAATAAATTAGCATCTGCAACTCTACATATCAATTTATAAATAATAAATCAATGAAAAATTATTTCAAAAAACTAAACAACATTTTAATTTCTGTGAAGGTAAAAACATATTTTGCTATTTCGCAAGTTGGACTGTCTACAGACCTGGCAATGGAAAATTTGATGTGAACCGTATTGATCCCACTTTATGTACCCACATAGTGTATGCTTTCGTGGGCCTAAATTTCGATGGAACTATATCTATTTTGGATCCGCATGAATCAAACAGCACCGGGTTGAGTAAGTCATTTTTTTTTGTAAATTTTCTACGCAGTTATGATCTGCATTGATTGCTTATTTGAGTATTAATTAAATTGTGGTTTTCCCCACTTTCAAACGGATTCTTGATAAGAGTACTTTTATTAACACGAGTGACAAATTATTTTTTTAAATGATTTCTTTGAAAAATATTTCAAATGCTTTTTAGATCGCTAAATCGATACTGAAATGTTATAAAGAAGGGTAGTGTATGTATAAATGAAACCGAATTACAGGAAAAATAATTATTAATTGGAATACAAAAAACTTTTAACCTCCTGTTAACAACTCAATTTTGGATTCAATGTTAAGATTGCTTTTGATGAAGAACTGGGATCTCTACAATTAATATTTGGCCAGATTCTAGAAAAAAAAAACACTTTTCAGATGGCTTCAGTAACTTCGTTGCACTAAAAAACGAAAATCTGAATTTAAAAACATTAGTCTCCATTGGTGGATGGAATGCAGGATCTCAGAACTATTCAGAAGTTGCTGCGCAATCTTCCAAACGAGCGGTATTCGTAAACTCGGCTTTACATTTCCTGGACGAACTGGGATTCGACGGACTTAATTTCGACTGGAACTTTCCCGCTAGAAGAGACAACAGCCATTCTGAAGATAAGGTCAGATTTTTAAACTTTTTTCTACTCCCTATACTATAATATACTCAACTATGCACTGAGCGGGCGTTAAAACTTCAAGCTTCATTAAACACCATCGCGAAAGAAGAAGAAACGTTTCAAGTTTGTGGTACTTTAATCATGAGTTGGGAGGTATGTTATTTCTTTGTGACTGTAATGCATATTATAGTACAGGGGTGTCGGCTACCTGCAACGCTTTACCCTCCATCCCTTTGCAACCTTTTGCGCGACCCGGCACCAATATCATTTTAGGAAAAAGCAACAAACTTAAAGCGCGAGCGTACCTAAAATGTTGCCGACCTCTGGAGTACATGCAAAAAGTTTAATGGAAGACACATTAGTCACGAGAATGAATATGTTCACTGAATGGTGTAACGAACGAAAAATACATGCAGAACCATTAGAACTGGCAAACCCCAAATTCCCATCAGTGTTTTAGATTTGTACCGAAAGCGTCCGATTGATCTCAGTCCGTGATTAAAGTACCGGAAACGCTTAAATTGTGTGACTGGGCAATAGTTGGAGGGGAAGTGTTACGAGGGGGGATGATTATCCCCGCAATGATTTGATTGGGTTGGCAAAATCACGATTACATGTAACGGTTACAACTTTAAAATAATTTGTATTGTAACATTCAATATATTCAATATAGATGCAGGGTGCGTATGATATTTGAGGATATTAACATTTATTTATTCATATTTATTGCAACATTTATTACAATTGCATAAAATTTTTACATAACGCCAATTGACTCTTAGATTGGTTATAGATAATTATTCAATAAAATCCCCATTAGCGGCAATAACGGAATAAAATGCTCTTTCTTTATGTTGATGATTGTGGTTTTTCAGCGATGAAACAGTGTTATGGCAATTGCTCAACTACGCCCCAAACGTAATAATCAAGTAACAATCCCGGGAGCAAGGTGGCTATAAGTTTAGGGTGATGTGGTTATAAAAATTTTCGGCAATCCAATCTTGTGTCCTGTCTCTGATTCCGATACCAACATAAACTGTCCTTTGCGCATAATGTGGGACTTTTAGCGGTATTCGACAACTCGACGGTTTAGAACCTCAGAGAAATTAAAATCCTCCGCAATGACCCTCATGCAAAATTATGAACAAAACTTGTTAAACAGTCCTTCTTCTAGAAAGAAGGATACTCATATCAAATCAAAAACGATTCCGTGTAGAAAAAAAATTATGTGCGTTATTTTTAGTATAAATTTGTATCCTTAAAACGGTGAAAGTTAGAAAGATATTATGCATGAAATACATAATTTTCTGAAAACTTCAAAAATCAACAATAATTTTTAATTTAAATTAACCTTCCCACACACACTTTCCATATAACCAAACGTGCCGCACTCAGAATAATAATAATAATATAGTTTATATAGTTGATCATCATATCTGGCGTATCTTAAAACCCAACTTATCTCTCTCGATTTGCCCCCAAACTCACAAAAATGCAGAAAGCGTCATCCTACCAGAAAATGTACTGGATATGCGAAGATTCAGTTTCGACTGTGAGAGTGTTAAAGTCGAAAAATAACGTTTTGTAGTAATAATAATAATAGCAATGATGATATTAAAACGACGCAACATAAACATGCAGACAGGTTAAAACAAAACAACATGTCACATATCTTTTAGGAAACTAATAGAAAATTAATAGACTCCAGTTGGTGGAAGCGTATTGTCGTCCGGCAAATAAAGGGTATTGCTCGAAAATGTTGCAAATATTAGTTTTTTGCAAATTTTATAAAATATGTAGTTAAAGTTTCGGCGACATATAAGTACTTTCATGTGACTAGATAATAGTAATAACTGTAAGCTAATCATTTCAGCAAAACGTAATTTTGCTACTTCAAGAACTCAAGACTGCGTTCACATCCAAAGGTTATTTGCTTTCCGCTGCTGTTACGGGATGTGTAAGAGATATCGACATTTCCTACGACGTACCAAACCTTAGCAAGTAAATTGATTTTATTACGGAAATATTTATTCTATTAAGCAAACTGTTTTATGTTAATTTAACATATTTCATTGGAAATTGCTCTAATAACGTTGATTATTTCTAGGGTTGTGGATTACATACATATTATGTCATTCGACTTCCATGGATCTTTTAATTCATTTGTGGGTCACCACACACCTCTCTTCGCGTCTAGCCTTGACAGCCAATTCAATAACATGGATTTAAATATCGTAAGTTTACTGAATTGTGAAAACCAAAAAACCAATAATTAAATTTCCAGGCTGCCGGAATTGAAGGATGGATAAACAGGGGCATAAATGTATCTAAAATCAACATGGGAATCGCAACTTACGGCAGAACCTTTACTTTGGCTGATCCGTCTAATACTTCCTTGTATGCTAATATAACAAAAGGCGGTAATGCTGGAAGTTATACTAGAGAAGTTGGGCTTTTGGGATTTAATGAGGTGAGTGAAATATCACAAAGTATTTTTGTGCTATCATATTGCATCGTCGCCTAAGACTTGGTAGACAAGTGCAAAAACGTTTTCTTATCAGTATTCTGACAACATTCTCTAAAATCTCTATGATACCAGTAAATGAAGGTAAATTTATTGGTCTGACTCTCTTGGCTTATTGAAAAGCGTTTGATTCGCTCAATAATTTTTTACTAACCACAGTTTTACATTACATAGGTTTTCTGTAAACGCAATCTACTCTCTAGTTATCTCAGGTGAGTGAAACATCACATATTCTTTCCTGCTATCATACTGCATCGTCGAACAAGAGTTGATAGATAAGTGTAAAAACGTTTTCTTAATTGTGATGTGAGGTGAAAATTAATTTATCCAAGAGGTTTTGCACCGTTGCCCCATATTTCGAAGTTCATACATTCATTCAATTCAAAAGTTTAAACCAAACCTGATCAAAGTCTGGGTTTAATCGAATACGTATAACATATATGTATGGTAAGGAGTAAGCAAGGGGTTGGTAAGGCAGTTAGCAATAATAGTATTTGATGTAAATTGATAGCTATAATTTATGTAAAGTCTTCAATTGCATATAAAATATTAAAGAAAAGTAGTTCCCCCGAATTAATTGCATTAAATAATAAATTGTAAATTGCAAAATACTAAGTTTGGAATTTTTGTTGTATATCGTCCTCTTAATTTTGATATTAGTTTCTTTGATCACTTGGTTAATGAGCTATCAAATTTATATACTGCTGGCGATGGTATTTTTAGGGTCGGTGATTCTTATATTAATTTACTTGCTAATCTTTGCAGATTCTTTGGGTATAACCCAACTCATTGATCAACCAACTAGCACCACCTGTCTACGGTGACACTTTTAGACTATATTGTAACTACTTGTACTGATTTTGACCATGATTGTCTTTTTTGTGTACTGAATATTAAGACAAATCGAACAACAGCTTCATTTAAGACACTCAAAAACTTTAAAAAATTTCATTATGAGAGTCTTAAATCTGGTCTAATGGTCGTGGAATAATATTTTTGATCTCGGCCTCTCAGGCCATGCGACTGGGTGGTACTTTGGTTGAATGTTGTCACAGCTTTTCAACGAGCTTTTTAGCAGGTCCCAATCAATTTCAAGAAAAATTTTGGTGCACTCGGGAGTCCCTCAATGTTCACAAGTGTGTCTAGTTTTCTTTCATTTGTTTATAAAAGATCTAAGATTCTGTGGTCTGAACAAATCGCCTTTGCAGATGGTTTTAAATTTTACTAAACAATTTTAAAATATATATATATATATATGTGGGATCTTGGCGAAACGTCTGCAGGATTCCAGTCGGAGTTCAACAAATGAACGGATAATATCCAATATATTGTCATCATATATAATTTATAATTTATTAATTTATAATTTATCCCCTTTAACTCGAACCTTGAGATTATTTAACAACTGCTGTCTTGATCCCTTTTCTTTGAACATTTAAGATAAAATTAAAGTGGTTGATTGTACGTAATTGTTATGTATGTAATTGTAGTTTAATATCGTTTTTTTACTGTGTTTTTACTCTTTTCTTTTGTTTTTATATTTTTTAAAAATGCTTTTTACGTAAGTTGCTGTTTTGCCATGTTGGAATTTATATTTATATTGCACTTTTTTTTTAAATTGGCTCAACTGTTGATATAAATAAATAAATAAAAATGGCTTTATATCTTACAGGTTGCTTCTGCAACAAGTTAATTTGTTAAATAAAGTCACGTGAGAGATACACACGTTCTCCTTGATTTCTAAACTTAAATTTAATGTGAAATTCCTCGTTCTGGATAAAAAGTATTATCGATAACATAATATCCACAGAATGATAGGTAGATGTTTTCTTCCTAATGTACGTAGCCACCCACAGAAGCACTACCATAAAAATATTGAAATCATCGGCTAATAGCAGCGTATAACAGCAAATAATATCATCATGATCTGGTTTTTCTTTATCATATCATTAAAATCTTTTTAGATATGCGAGTTTCACAGTGGATGGGAAAGACACTGGCACGATGAAATCAAAGCCCCGTTCAAAGTATCTGGAGATCAATGGATAGGTTACGAAGATGAAGCTTCCATCGCCGAAAAAGTAAAATACGCTTTGAGCAAGAACCTTGGGGGGTTCATGATATGGTCATTTGACACCGACGACTTCCAGGGGCGTTGTGGAAACGGCACTTACCCGTTAATGAAGAGTGTCCTGAATAACGTGAGGGAAAACGGTTTTTCTATAGAATAATGAAAGTTGTTTGTTTAAAATAAAAGTAGGTTCAGTGTGTTTGTGTGTTATATAAACTACGAAATGAAACCTGCTCCTACGGCCGTACTCGTTCCGCTGTAGCTTTCTGGCTGCTACATAGTTTAGCCTTTCCTCTACAAAAAAACCTGTTGCGAAATGAAGCAACTCGCACTTCGCTTTATAGTTATAGCCACCCTAGTGACGAAAGGTAGAAAG